ATACGTAAACATCTTTCTGGTATTCTCTGCTTTCAGGCAAAATCCATATGACATCAGTAATGATATCCCTAGTTCCATGTCCTCTTCTGAATCCGGCTTGAATCTCTGGAAGTTCTCTGTCAACGTAGGGTTGAAGCCATTTTTAGATTACGTTTAGTAAAACTTTATTTCAATGGGCCATCAATGGTATTGTCCAATGATTTCCACATTTGGTTGGGTCACCTCTCTTTGGAATGGGCACAAATATGGATCTCTTCCAGTTAGTTGCCCAGGTAGTTGTCTTCCAAATTTCTTGGTATAGATGAGTAAGTGTCTCCAGTGCGACATCAGTTTGTATGAAAGACTTCAATAAGTGTTCTGTCAATTCCTGGTGACTTGTTCTTTGCCAGTTCATTAAATGTACCTTGGACTGCTTCCTTCAAGATCATTGGCTCTTGACCATATGCTTTATCTTGAAATGTTTGAACATCAAACATTCCTTTTTGGTAGAGTGACTTTGGGTATTCCTTCCATCTTCTTTGGATGCTTTCTTCTCCATTTACTATTTTACCCATTGAACCCTTCAATACTTCAAGCTGAGGCTTGAATTTTTTCTTCAATTCCCTCACAGCTTGAGAAATGCTGAGTGTGCTCTTCCATTTACTTTAACTCCAGATCTTTGCACATTTCATTATAATATTTGACTTGTCTTCACAAGCGGACGTTTGAAATTTTCTGCTCAGCTCTTGTACCTCCTCACTTCTTCCATTTACTTTAGTATCTGTATGCTGGAGAGCAACTTTCAGTGTCTCTTTTGTCAAGCATGCTGGTTCCAGCATCACAGCAACACACAAGCCACCAGAGTATGACAAATTGACGGGAGGGTGGTGGCCCAATGTTGTTCACTGTGTTAAGTTGATTTTGACCCACATCATCCCATTTGTGCAGAGCTGAATTGTTGATAGGAATTTCAAAACTGACCTCTTGGTAGCAGATCACCAGGCTTGTCTTCCAAAGTGACCCTGGATGACTTCACACCACCAATTTTCCAACCAGTAATCAAGCACTTAATAATCATTTGAGTCACCCAGGACCTGGTAATCAGGTATGTTGTTGTTGTTAGGTGCTATCAAGTTGGTACCTACTCACAGTGACCCTATGCACAACAGAACTAACAACTGCCCAGTCCTGGGTCAACCTCATAATTGTTGCCACACTTGAGCCTACTGATGCCGCCATAGTGCCAATCCATCTCACTGGGGATCTTCCTCTTTTTTCTCTGATCCTCCATCTAACCAAACATGATATCTTTCTCCAGTGTCTGGTCCCTCCTGACAATATGTCCGAAGTATGAGAGACGAAGTTTGGCCATCCTGGTCCAAGGAGTAATCTGTTTGCATTTCTTCCAACACAGATCTGTTGGTTCTTTTGGCAGCCCATGGCACTTTCAATATTCTCCTCCAACACCGTAACTCAAAGGCATCAATTCCTCTACAGTCTTCTTTATTCACTGTCCAGCTTTCACATGCATATGAGGTTACTGAAAAAACCATGGCTTGGGTCAGGTGCACCTTAGTCTTCAAGCTGAAATATTTGTTCTTCAGCACTTTAAAAAGGTCTTGTGCAGCAGAGTTGTCTAACGCAATACGTCGTTTGATTTCTTGACTGCTGCTTCCATGAGTGTTGATAGCTGATCCAAAAGAATGGATAAATTGAAGAATGGAGTCCTTCAAATGTTTTCTCCGCTGATAAGAATGTTGTTTATTGGTCCAGTGGTGAGGACTTTTGTTTTCTTTACATTGAGACGCAATCCATACTGAAGGCTGTGTTCTTTGATCTTCATCAGTAAATATTTTAAGTCCTCTTCACTTTCAGCAAGCAAGGTTGTTATCATCTGCATATCTATCACGGATTGTTAATGAGTCATCCTCCAATCTTGACACCACACTTTTATTCATATAACCCAGCTTCTCGGAATATTTGCTCAACATACAGGTTGAGCAGCTATGGTGAAAGAATACAATCCTGTTGCACACCTTTCTTAATTTCAAACCATTTAGTGTTCCCCTGTTCTGTTCGAAAAACTGCCTCTTGGTCCATGTACAGATTCCTCACGAGCACAATTAAGTGTTCAGGAATACTCATAATTCTCAATGCTGTCCATAGCTTGTCATGAGCCACACAATAGAAAGCCTTTGCATAGTAAATAAAGCATAGGTAAACATCTTTCTCATCTTCTCTGCTTTCAGCCAAGATCCATTAGACATCAGCTATGATATCCTTTGTTCCATGTCCTCTTCTGAATCTGGCATGAACCTCTGGAAGTTCTCTGCCAATGTATGCTTGCAGCAATTTCTGTATTACCTTTAGTAAAACTTTATTTGCATCAGATATCAAAGATATTGTCCAATAATTTCTGCATTCTGTTGGGTCATCTCTCTTTGGAATGGGCACAAGATGTATTGATCATTACTAGTAATTGGAATGCAAAGGTTGGGAATGAAGAAGAAGAATCAGCAGTTGGAAAATATGGCCTTGGTTATAGAAATGATGCTGGAGATTGCATGATAGAATTCTGTAAAATCAATGATTTGTTCATTTCAAATACCTTTTTTTAAAATGTTTTATTGTAAATTATGTGATAGATTATTACATGGGCGAACATTAGTTTTACATTCATCCTATCATATATCATTTCATTGCCATGGGTACAATCTGTTCCATACATAATCAACTAACCAAAAGGTATACTCTGTAAGCCCGCCCCCCCCCCCCACCCCGGCCTTCAGCACACAGCCCTTCTCCCCCTCTGGGTGTAAAATCCCCAGCCACTCCATCTCTCCACGTCATCGTCTCTGCCTCCATCTCTGGTGTCACTACTTCTCTGTGTATGGTCCCACTCTCCACTCTTCTCCCTTGATGGTCCCAGGGACCTCCACTTCTAGACTGAAAAGTTATTCACTCTCTTCCTGCTACAAAATGTCTACCTTTACATTTCCAACTCTCACATCAGTCATGACAACAATTATTCACTATTGTATCACAAGAGACCTACCTGCATTTCCTTTCATCAGCCTGCCTAGACAAATTTCATACTACTCAGTGGAGATTCTGCCTTCCTCCATGCCCTCTGGATCTAGATTCCTTCTTGAAAGCTTGTAAGCCAGTCACGTCTTGCCTTTGTAGCCTCCCCTTGGGGTAGCCAATTTCCAAGTTGCCCATCCTGACTACTCTGTGTATGGAGGGGGTGGGAATGATCCTCGCTGTAAAGATTTGTCCCCTCTTTTGAGCTACTGCATCCATAGGTGTAGGTCAAGTTCATCAAATTATATCAGAGTACTCTTTTTTTCCTCTTCTTTCTTCTTCTGGTTAAGCTCTGATCATCCAGTCATTGAAGCCAGGTCAAGTGGGTATAATCTGCAAGTGTGTGTGTTCTTGTGCATATGCCCTCTCTTCTTATCAGCCGGACGCTTCACTCTCCACTGTACTCCTCTATGGCTGTCACTGACTCTGGGCCAAAGAGTCCCCAGGTCTTGCAACACTGCTGGTCAACCAGGTCCCCACCCAGGTTCACAGGAATCTGTTGAACATTGTAGGGCTTAGCTTGCCACTTCAATGCTGTTTTTCCCTCACTTCCCTTATCTGTGACGAATGTGGTCACAAATCAGAGCATGTACTTCCATTGAGTCTTATTCTTGGGAGGGTTTTGCTCTGAGGGGACCCGACCACATGCCTTGATGTCTCCTGGGCGAGCATCTTGCTTGTTTTTGTAGTAATCAGTCGGACTACATATAATGTTTTGTATTTTTCCTGTTGGTTTTCTTTCAAGAAGTATCTTCTGTTCTTCTAGCCAGGTCCAGGCTGGTCTTCCTGTCCTTTCAAGAGGAAATTTCCCACCTCTGAAGATTCTGGATGCTGTTCAGGATTCCACTTATGGTCTTATGTAATACACAGGCTCCACAGGAAGCCTCCTTCACTAGGCATATTGTAGCCCCATTTTGGGTATTCCAATCAGTTATAGGCAGAAGACAGACAAGCTTTCTATGGTGTTATTTCTGACTATTCCTTTCTCCTCCCCTCAGTGTCTATTTTATAATGGTATGTAAGGGAAACCAAGATTCAAAGGACAGCCAAGCATCTTAACATTATTTTCCCCCTTTTCCCCATGCTAACCATGTCTCATTCCCTGTATCGCAGAACTCTGTGGTTCCAAGGTTGTGCATACATTATTAGTTACTTCTGTCCCACTTAACCCATACAAACCTGCCTAATTGTTCTCCCATCTGTTTTCTCCTTCCATTCCCCTTTCCCTTCTTGTATACTGCACCCCTCCCTAGCACTCAAACTAGCCTGTGTCTAATCCCTGTCCTGTGCTCCACCTTCCCCTCCCTCCCCTCACCCTATCCCCCACATCCCATCAACCAGCAAAGAATCCATACTCCCCTTTAGTATGGGTTCTTTTACAGTAGTGGTCCTATGCCTGGTATTCTGTGGTATTGCTTACGGCAAACTTCACTGCACCTCCACCCTAGCTGCCATCAAGCCCCACCTCTCAAATACCTTCTTTAGACAGCATAAAAGATGACTACATACAAACACCTCACCAGATGGAATGCACAGAAATCAAATTGACTACCTCTGTGGAAAGAAGCAATGGAAAAGCTCCATGTCCTCAGTGAAAACTAGGCCAGGGGTAGATTGTGGAACAGACCATCAACTGCTTATATGCAAATTCAAATCTGGTATAGCCAGTCACTATTCTAGAAGGAGGCAGGAAATCCAATTCAAAGGCAAAACACTATACTAAGGAGCGATGGAAACAAACTGCTAAAAAAGTAAACATTTTACTTGTTTGTTTTGGCAAGTACACAGATGCTTCATTTTATTATCCATTTTTATTAAATCAAATACAGTACTGCCAATGTCATCTTTGTTCAATATGCCAGAGCACTAGACCTTAAATCTGAAGCCTCCATTTTGGTAGTTGCAGAGATGGCCAATGGGCCAATGAAATGACTTACCACTATGATCCAGGACAAAGTCATCTTGGGCATAACGGAATTTTTCGGGTCCACATGCAATAAAAACATCGTCATCACCAAAGAAGTCCTGCAGACAAGTAACCTGGGGGGAGGGAGGGAAATAAATATTGTTACATCCAAGAAAACAAGTAGAAACACTTTGTGTTGTTGTTGTTGTTAGGTGCCATCGAGTCAGTACTAACTCGTAGTGACCCTATGCACAACAGAATGAAACATTCCAACAAAGTAATGTAACACTGTTGTTGTTTAAATGCCACTGAATCACAGTGACCCTGTATAGGGTTTCCAAGGAGCAGCTGGTAAGCTTAAACCTCCGACTCTGCAGTTCACATGGCTTTGCAATCTGGCACATTAACCCACAGCACCATACCAGGACTCCGATGTGGCATTAGGAGTCAAAAAAAAAGTCAGTAAAAGCAAATATATTGTCAAGTGTCACACAAAACACTGCAATGGAATGAAAAGCTGTTTAATAAAACATTAAACATTTCTAAGCACTTTAGCCTTCATGAAGTAGTCTCAAACACTTGCTCATGACTCAGAAGAGCAGCATGAAGGACAGGTATGACTGCTCCTGTTGAACAGGGGAAGTCAAGGAAATAACGATACTCAAAGCCACGTCGTTTGTGCAGGGGTCCCAGATCAATGGATGGCAAAACTGTAGCTCAACTGCATTCTAGTTAGTGCTCTCTTCTGTTCTACCCTTTTCATTCTCTCATAAACACCACTTCCCACTTGTGTGACTTTGGGCATGACTTAGCTGCTATGGACCTGAGGTTCCTCAACTGTAAAACAGTGCTTTAAACAAGCTAATACATTTATGTAACCCGTAACTTGAAACAGGACCTAGAATTTAAGTTCTCAGTGTTTGGGCTCTCCTTCTATCACCAGAACCATCTCACCACCGAGATCAAAGGAAGATTTTCCATGAAGCTAATGAGTCTTAACTCCAGGATCCTACTAAGCCCTATACCTAAATGCTTACTTATTCTGTTGCATTATTTGCAAAACAATATTATCAGTTTTAGTCCTCAAAAAAACTAGATCTATCCCAGGGAGCACATTCATCTATTTATTATTCCCTGTGATGCCAAGAAGAATGATCTTCCAGGACTTCAGACTTAAAGCAGGTACAATTGATTTATTTTTCAATAGGCAATTTCAATAGATAATTGCTGCTGTTGTTGCTAAGTGCCTTGGAGTCAGTTCTGACTCATAGCCACCCTGTATAGGAGGTCCTTGTGTAGCGCTGTGGGATAATGCACTGGATCACAAGGTCAGTTTGAACTGCAAGGTTGGCAGTTCAAACCCACCAGCCGCTCCTCAGAAACCCTATACAGGGTCTCTATGAGTCAGAATCTACTTGATAACACTGAACAACAACAATAAGATTTCTGATGAATGGCTGGTGGGTTTGCACTCCAGATCTTTCATTTCAAACCACTTGTGGTCCAGTGCTTATCCTTCCGTAACACACCCAGCCTCCTCAATAGGTAATAGGTAAGACTTTTTTTTTTTTAAGTACTTAATCTCCCTGGCCTCAGCTGCCCACTAAAACTAGCTCCACCAAGGGCCCCCATCAACTACTTCCAGAGTGAGTGCCCTGAACAAAGCTAAAACTGAGGCCAATAGGAACTCCATCTAGTGTCAGGGACTCTGCTGTCACATCCCTTCCACAATCACCTCATGAGCAATTTGAATTGCATTTTCCAGGGATTTCTTCCCTTTGGGTCCAACAACTGCACGGTTTTTACAAATAAGACAACTGCACAATGACCCAGAAACAACAGACAATGTTAGCTCTCATGAAGAAAAAAGGTAGAATGGCTCAAACAAATGATCAAGATGCAAAGACAAAAAAAAAAAATTGTGAGGAAAAAGGTAATGGAACTAATTAAAAATAATATTAAAAAGTGATATTTTGGTATCTTCAATGAATTGACAGAAAGATGCAGGAAAGCAAAGAGAACACAGGACAAAACTTTAGAAGAATTCAGGAAAACACAATGAGAACAGACAAAATAAATGGAAAATTTGAAACAATACAAAATCTGCAATTAGAAATTCAGAAAATTAATACTAAGATATCAGAAATGGACAATACAATGAAATGGCAAAGGAGAAGATTCTAAGCAATGGAAGCCCAAATTAGTGACCTTGAAGATAAATCTCTCATACTAATGCTAGAAGAACACTAAGAAAAAATAAGAAAATCTAAAGAAAGCCAAAAAATTATGCGGGAGACTATGAAAAGGAACAACTTATGTTGTTGGTGTTGTTAAGTACCATGGAGTTGGTTCCTACTCATAGTGACCCTGCAAAGGGTTTCCAAGGCTGTAAATCTTTATGGGAGCAGAAAGTCTCATCTTTCTCCCACAGAACAACTGGTAGTTTCGAATTGCCGACCTTGAGGTTAGCAGCCCAATTCATAAAAAGCATAGAGAGAACTGCTGAAGAATTGTTGGAAGAAAACTTCCCTAACATCATGAGAGACGACAAGATAAACATACAAGAAGCTGAATGAGCCCCAAACAGGATAGATCCCAAAAGACATTCACCAGGACATATCATAATCAAGCTTTATAAAATTACAGAGAAGGAAAGAATCCTGAGAGCAGCTTGGCAAAAACAAAAGGTTACCTACAAGTGAAAACCAGTAAGTTTAAGCTCTGATTTCTAAGCAGAAACCAAGCAGGCAAGAATGGGATGACATCTACAAAACTCTGAAAGAAAAACATTTTCAGCCAAGAATCATATACCCAGCAAAGTTGTCCCTCAAATATGATGGCAAAATTAGGGCATTTCCTGATGAGCAGAAATTAAAGGAATTTGTAATGACAAGACTAACTTCACAAAAAATGTTAAAGAGAGCTCGGTGGACTGAGAATCAACAATAATAGACAACATTTGAGATTACCATGCATAACAGCACCACCTAGAACTCTGGTGTGGCCCTGGAGGGTAAATTCTGGACTGTAAGGTTGTACTGAATGACAAGGTTGGCAGTTCAAACCCAGAAGCAGTTCCTTGGAAACCCTATGCAGTGTTGCTCTGAGTCGGAATCAACTCAACAGCACTTAGTATCAACAGCAGCAAAGTAAAACAAACCTACAAGACTGAAAGTAGGGAGTCAGAGAAATCAATGTATGATGAAGTCAACTACAAAGCATTAAGAGGGAACAAATGTAGATACAGAACTTCCAAAAGGCAAAGAAGTCAAGTAGATTTCAAGATAGACTGCTTTAAGCAGAGAAAATTTATATAGGGCAACCTCAAAGATAAATAATACACCTACTCATCAAAAAATAATAGTAATAATCCAAAAGATTTAGTAAGCATTAACGTGACAGAAATGACAATGACATGAAAACCCACAAAGAAAATTAACTCAGCATAGAGAATTATGTGGAACAAAGAATTCAGCAACACCACAAAATAAAAACACACAGAAAAATGACAGCAATCAATTCATACCTATTGATAATTACACTGAATATAAATGGACTAAACATACCAGTCAAGAATAGAATGAATAAGAAACCAGGATTCTTTAAATATGCAGTCTACAAGAGACATATAAAAAAGATGGAGACTGTCTAAATGCCCATCAACAGAAGAATTATCAAACAAACTTTAATACATACACACAATGGAATACTCAATGGTAGTATTGAACAAATGATAAATCTGTAAAATACCTCACAACATGGTTGAACCTGGAAGACATTATGCTGAGTGAAATCAGTCAATCAAAAAGGGCAAATATTGTATGAGATCGGTGTTGTAAAAAGTTACAAAAACAAAAAGGTTTTCTTGATGAAAGAAACAATCTATGATGGTTATGGGAGAGGGGTAGGGAAAATTACTCACGTGTTAGAGGGTTGTTGTTGTTAGGTGCCATTGAGTCAGTACTGGCTCAAATCAACTCTGCACAACAGAACGAAACACTGCCCAGTCCTGGACCAACCTCACAATTGTTGCCATGCTTGATTCCATGGATGCTGCCACTTTGTCAATCCATCTCGTTAGGGGTCTTCCTCTTTTTCTCTGACCCTCCATCTTACCAAACATGGTATCTTTCTCCAGCGACTGGCCCCTCCTGACAATATGTCCGAAGTATGAAAGACAAAGTTTGTCCACCCTGAGCACTCTGGCTGCACTTCTTCGAACACAGATCTGTTTGTTCTTTGAGCAGCCCATGGCACTTTCAATATTCCTCTCCAACACCATAACTCAAATGCATCAATTCTTCTACAGTCTTCCTTATTCACTGTCCAGCTTTTGCATGCATATGAGGTTATTAAAAATGTCATGGCTTGGATCAGGTGCACCTTAGTCCTTAAACTGACATTTTTGCTCTTCAAAACTTTAAAGAGATCTGTACAGCAGATTTGCCTAATGCAATACATCGTTTTATTTCTTGACTGCTGCTTCTATGAGTGTTGATGGTTGATCCAAGAAGAATGAAGTCCTTGACAACTTCATCTTTTCTCTGTTGATAAGAATGTTGCTTATTGGTCCAGTGGTGAGGATTTTTGTTTTCTTTACATTGAGATGCAATCCCTACCAAAGGCTGTGGTCTGTGATATTCATCAGTAAGTATTTTAAGCCTGCTACACTTTCAGTAAACAAGGTTGTATCATCTGCGTATCTATCGCAGGTTGTTAATGAATCTTCCTCCAATCTTGATGCCACGTTTTTCTTTATAACTCAACTTCTTGGCTAATTTGTTCAACATACAGGTTGAGTAAGTGTGGTGAAAGAATACAATCTTGTCGCACACCTTTCTAAATTTTAAATCATTCAGTATTCACATGTTCTGTTTAAACATCTGCTTCTTGGTCCTAGTACAGATTCCTCATGAGCACAAGTGTTCCAGAATACTCATACTTCGCAATGCTGTCCATAGCTTGTCATGATCCACACAATTGAAAGCCTTTGCATAGTCAATAAAGCACACGTAAACACCTTTCTCTTTCTGGTATTCTCTGCTCTCAGCAAAGATCCACTGGCCTCAGCAATGATATCCCCTGTTCTACCTCCTTTTCTGAATCCAGCTTGAACCTCTGGAAGATCTCTGTC